GAAAAAGCATTTAGCTAGGCCGGCCTGGCTCCGTGGCTGAGCGTCCACCTATGAACCAGGAGGTCACAGTTCAATTCCCGGTCAGGGCACAGGCCCGGATTGTGGGCTCGATCCACAGTGTGGGGCGTGCAGGAGGCAGACGATAGATGATTCTCTCCCATCATTGATGTTTCTTATCTCTCTCTCCCTCTCCCTCCCTCTCTGAAATCACTAAAAATATTACAAAAAAACCAAAAAGGATGAGCATCTGGAGGATTTTGGAGTCACACGTGCCATAAACCAGTGACGGCAGTGCCCCGCGGCCACGCCCGCCTACCTGGTGATGTGGATTTCCGCGTCGTACAGCAGGCGGACGGTGAAGTTGGCCGCATTGTCTGCCTCGTTGGCTTCCTCACTCTCGCTGTGGAACCAGCATTAGGAAATTACTTGAAGGAAAGTATCAGAAAGGCTATCCATGCACGACTTTGTTACGTTTTACCTTGAGGCCTGGAAACTGACAGATGCCCGATTCTGAAGGTTTTGAAGATTGAAGTCAAAGTTAATCGTAAACGTCACCTACGTTCAAAATTAAAATCCGTCAGTGCACGATGCTCCGTACTCAGCCCCAACACGAACAAAAAGTTTCCCCAGAGAGTGGACGCCCTCCGGTTGGATTCCGAATTGCATGCACCGCGAGCTCCCAAACGTGTAGAACGTGTGGTTACTGGTCCGCCTGGCGCAGCTGCCTGGCCTTCAGCATCAGACCAGCTCAACCCTCAATGGCACAGGCCAGCCCTCCCGCCAGCACACGCGTGTCTGGGTTTGGAAGCTCTGTGCTGACGCAAAGCGTGCTCCTCAGGGGTCAACACGTGACCTCCGGGGCCCCGGGTAGCGCACTTAGACCGACCGTCGGTCAACGCGTTCAGAAACAAAGCACTTCCCATGGCGTGTGTGCTTTTTGGGATGCACCGCGTGGGGGAAATCTTACTTTTTAAAATATATACATTTCTTGATTTCTGAGAGGAAGGGAGAGGGAGAGAGAGAGAAACATCAGTGATGAGAGAGACACATCACTTGGTTGCCTCCTGCAGGTCCCCAGGATCGAGCCTGCAACCGAGGTACGTGCTCTTGACCGGAATCAAACCTGGGACTCTTCAGCATGGACACTCTATCCACTGAGCCAAACCAGCAAGGGCTCACTTCTATTAGTAACTTAAAGAGAACATTCAGTTCTAAACGCGTCCTCTGAACAGGCAGGCAGCGGTGCTGTGAGGCCCATGAAAGGTGACAGCTCGTGAGGAGGGCGGCCTGTGGGTGGATGAGATGGGAGCTGAGGGGGCTGGCGTGGGTTTCAGGCTGAAACACAGCTGGTACCTGCTGTTTTGGCTTCAGCGCGGGGTAGCCTACATCGCAGGCCACGGACTTCTGAGAGGCAGCCACCTGGCACGTCACTTCCGTTCCGTCCACCTGAACGAGACCAAGGAAACATGAGCAATCAGTATGCACCGTGTGTGTGCAGGCACGGCCACGCTGAATGACGCACAGCGCACGGGCACTTCAGCGCCAAGGCTGGTGACACTACAGTGACCTACTGTCCCCAGGACTTAGCATCCTGCCTTCTCCAGGCGGCCAAGGTGCTATTTTCGTTGCTAAGCAGGACACGCAACAGCCATAGGAGAGAGGCAGATACTTGAATTTCCCCCCAGAACTGATTTATTCGCTCTTATATTTCATAAGCACAAAATAATTGCAATCCCATATGGAATGCTGTCTTAAATACGAATCTTTCTCTTAATGTAGCTGAAGTTTGTAGTTTCATGAGAAGAAAACAAAATTGTATGTTGGTGTTTATTAATATTCTTTCAATAATTTCAAGACTGTTTTTTAGTTTCCCTCTTTAGAATAAGCTGTCATTTAACACCGACGTCAGAATGGTTTAGGACGCTACATCTGTGAAGTTCGCACTGCCTTGAGCTGGATGGGACCGGTCCACATTCTCTCATCACAGGCAGCTGGTTTGGAAAATCTTAGCTTTTCCCCCTCCTGTTCCCTGCGCGGTGGCCGAGGGGACGGGGGCATTCGCGGTCAAGTGCGCCCCTGGGATAGTCATCAAGCTGACAGACTAACTGACCTTGCCGGAATGCGTCCCCTGGCAGCCGCCCGCCGGGGCCCAGCTGCGGGACTGAGCTCTCGGAGCAAGTGCAGCTCGGAGCATCTGAGCTCACGGTGGCTGAGGATCTGGCCCCTCGGCAAGTCTCAGGGCAAAGGAAAAACTGAGCCGCCCCTGCGAGGCCGGCCCAGCCTGGACGCGGAGCCAGGCAATGTGCTCACGGGGTTTAACGCGTTGGGAGCCACGCAGTCAGGCCTGAGGGTGCCCCTCGTGGTTAAAGTTTCCCTCACAACACGGAGCACAGACCTCGGGGATCGAGCTGAGGGGAGGCGTGACTGAGGAGTGAGCCCCCCGTGGAGCCGGCACCACTCACCGGCATGGACCAGGAAGCAAAAAACAGGTTTTCTGAGAAATCCACACGGAGCCCAGTGTTGTACGCACTCTCCCTTTTGTTTTTCAGTGTCACTGAAAAGGTTAACCTCTTGTTTTGGTTGCTGACAATAAAGGGTTGTTCTCTGTTAAAAAAAAGGAGAAAAAGGAAAAAGAAAGTCATTAAGGGGGGGAAAGGGGTCAGTATTCAAACACTTCATTCATTTAAAAAATAAACTCTTCAGATTCACTTTGAAAACT